CAATTTGATTTTGCTCAGGGTTAACCTAGACAAATCTGGACAAAATAATAAACATAGAAAATGCTTTTGTTACTGGTTATAAAGAATATCTATACAATATATGTTGATCTTATATCATTTGAGAACTTGGGAAAAGTCCTAAATAGCTTTTTTCCTTTTCGCTTAAATTCTTTTATTGGTACATTTTAGGTATATAATAAGTTCACATTTATCATTGGGTGCTTGTACCTGTACATGATGTATCTTGGTTCTTATTTTTTCCCCATTACCTGTGCGTCCTTCACCCTCTCTACCCTTCCCTATTTACATAGACTTCGTTTCCATTTTTTTCTTTTCTCATAATTTTTCCTTTCCCTTCTTTTCTTTCTCCTTCCCCTCCCACTTCCTCTACCCCTTTGGACCTTTTCTTCTTATTTATTGCTACTGTTGAAATTGTCTTTCATTAACTGGTATTTTTCACATGAATAAGGTCCTGCTAATAATAGTTTTGTCTATTGATGGCTATTAAGAATTTCATACTGATGTGACTGAGAAAGCTTATTTGAAAGAATAAAAAATAATTTAGAAAAAGAAGTAAGCTACTTTGATTAGAAATTAATCATAACTATACCACAGTATTTGTCTCCATTTTAGCAGGCATTTTATTATATATCAGATGGTAAACTGGACGGTCTTTTATCTCCATTCTTGGTTTTGTCCCAGTTAGAATACACATTCTAGCTTCTGTCATGGCTTCACTGGTAGAATATGCTTCTATGCCTCTTGACTTTGGCCTTGGACATGGGACTTCTTTTGCCCAGGGGAATTCTTATGGACATGAAATATGCAGAGGCTTAAATTATATTACAAATTTTGTCTTGCTGTCTTTGCATTACTATTATATTTGTTTTGTTTTTAGAACATGCTTTGGGTAGCTGCAGCTTCCATGCAAGGAGACCACCACAACACTGCCTGTAGTTTAGGGCCAATTTCAGCAGAATCTAGCATAAGTCGGCTAAATTTTAGCCACACAGACAGGCATGTAGTCTTTTGCTATTGAGAAATTTTTAGTGACTGGTAGCACAACATTATTTTACAAAGCGTTGATTGATACACCTTGATTATAGGTATGAGTCCCTCACTATTTTGTGAACATCATACCTATCAACCATATTTTGTTCAAATCTACATTTCCTGAGCTTGGATTGTGGATCGAGAATTCCTGAAATGTGTTTGATGTATGAATAATGAATGCCTGAATGACATTCAAAGGTGTCTGAGTTGAATGTAGGGAGTATGTTTATTGTGACAAATCAGGTAGAATTTAGAATCATTAGAATATTCTTTTAATTCTAGAGAAACATTATGCATGTTTCTAAGCTAAAAGTAAGAATTCATCCTGAGTCTGATCCAATCACAGGCAGAGCAACTAGGTCCTGGATAAAACAAAACCTTCAGATCTAATGCTGAGTTAATCAGATGGCAGTTTGAGGTTACATTTCCTGTTTTTTTTTTTTTTTTTTTTTCTTCCTCTACTGGGGATTGAACTCAGGAGTTTGTGCTTGCAAGGCAGGCCACTGAGATAAATCCCCAACCCCATATTTCCTGTTTATTTTGGGGGTATTTTCTTTTCCTTATATAAAAAGCAAGCTGAACATTTTCTCTGTGTTTCCTTCTAATTGTAATTGCTTGAATTTCCTTACAAGTGAGTTATTTCTTTGTTATGCACACTTTTGCTATTAATAATTAATATGCAATATCTGTCTTTCAGAGTTATTATTATGTGTTATAAAAAACTATGAGTATAAGATCATACATTAATGTTTTCCAAGGTCAGTGTAGAATCTCAAATACTATGGACAGACCTGGAGATCCTAGAAATTGTAAGAATTTAAAGTTTGAAATGGCTACTCAGTATGCTCTTTCTTGTGACAGTGTCACCTGAGGTCTAGGGTCTAGAAATAAATGTGTGTGTGTATGAGAGTGAGAATGTGTGTATGTGTGTGTGTGTGTGTGTGTGTGTGTGTGTGTGTAAGCTTATGTTTACCTAATTTTCTTCTATACCATGTGGGATTCTGAGTCAACATGAAAACAACTGACAGCCCTAGATAAAGATGATTAAGGTAAAAACTTAATCGATGACATTTTTATCTCAGCAACACACGCTTTTCAGCTTTAAAAAATTATTTGCATCAATATCTATTCTCATCTAGCCTCAGAGTAAATAAGACCAAGCTGAAGAGTTAGAAAAATAGAAGTGAAGTCGCAATTCTGAATGTCAAAAAATGCTGTGTTCAATATCCTTGATTACAAAATACCATAAGATCACTGCAAACCATGCTAATGTAATTCCTTATATCAATTCTGTATGCATATGTGTTTGATGTCTTAGGAGAAAAAGTTAAAACTAAATCTAAGCACATGATTGACAGGATAACAAAATAATGTTTCTGATGAAGGATACATTGTATAATTTAAAACCAAAGTGTCTTCCAGCAAAAAAATTGCATCTGTAATGATAAATCTTTCATAAGGTATTTATTTCAATTTATGCATATTAATTGCTCAAAATGTTTTATGACATTAAAAATTTTGTTTGTTTTGCATGAAAAGTCTTGAGTAGTGATTGAGAATCCATGAAAAGACAGCTTTAAACATGTTTTTTTAAATTTTAGCTGGTTAAAACAATGAATATCTCCCTTACACATTTTAAGTAAAATAAGCATAATGTCTAAGAAAGAAGTGTTGGGTTCAACACTGTCATAGACTAGAAGGAGAGGGTTCAAGCAGCTAAAACCAAATCTTAGCCTTGACTGTAAAGTTTTATAGTCTTTGTTAATTATCTCAGGGCTGCTCTCGAATGTAATTGTCAAATATACAGGGGAAGCCTGGTGATGAGGGAGTGAGAAAATTCCCCTAAGAACTTGCGGCAATCTGCGCGTAAAGTTTTCTTCCACCTGCATCTAGACACTAGAATCATTGAGCTAGTCTTGATGGAATGTGAATTCCCGACATTCTGTTGAGCTTCATCCATTGTACTGTCTTCTTATAGCACAAATGACAATTTTAAAAAGTTACATAGTTATTTTTTTAAAGGGGACAAGAAGAACTGAGCAAATATATTATCTGAACTTAGGGGTGTGTGAATTCCATGAGGCCACGGCAGTGGCTTCATCTGTGGTCTTAGGAGTCATAAAAAGAAGGTGATTCCTAGGGAAAAGAGATCTTCCCCATCCAAGAATTGTACTTTTAATACAAATATTGAAGCATCTTTGTGAGTGAACATGCATATGTGTCTCTATATATGTGTATTGCAGTAAGATTGCTAATTTTCTTATAGAGTTACATGTACCTTTAGGAATTTATTTAAATGGACTAAATAGCATCTTCTTTAGCTAAAGAATTACTTTTTACATGGTTAGAATTTTCAAACAAGACAAATGTAACACAAAACTTGGTGGTATTGGAGATATTAGAATTTCAAGTCTGCTGTAAAGTATTTACAGGAAACTTTCTGTTTTCATTATTTGTGCTTTTTTTTAAAGAAAACTTTTGCTTTTTGTGTGGCTGTCATGTTTAATTCCATGGTTGTCTTATCTTAAAAGTCCACATTGAAAATTCTTTTTCTATTCTAGGCAAATTAACAGTATCATTAAATTAGAAACAAAATTATAATGAACCAAAAGATCATACCAAAAGATCATTTGAATGGAAACCATAAACAATCCCATAGTTTTAAAATGAAAGCATACAGTTTACACTAGAAAAGGCAAACGATATTTCCACTCACAAGCTTAATTTATTTGCCTTTTCATATTTCATTTATGTAGTATTTGACAAATCTTTACAGTAAGAATTTTTTCCTTTTTTTTAAACTGTGAATGAACACTGTACTATATGCAGCACAGTTATGGGCATTCTGTGTCCAATATAGTTCTCAGGAAAAAAATCAGAGAAATAGAAACCTGAGCAAACATAGGAGAAAAAGTGGAATGCAAAGAGGATGTGAGACCAGAGCTGCAGCAATGCCTTTTTGTGAAAACTACAAGTGAAGTCAGTGCTGGCCCCTATGTATATTCATGATCAATTAGGAGGAAAATCTTGTTTTTTCATTTTATTGACTAAAAAAAAATAGTGGTTTAATGGACTCTAACATAGTGATGGTTGTTAACAACAAGCAAATAATCATCAAGTGTTATCTGGCACACTTTTATCTGTGCTATCTAATTTATAAACAACAGATAATTCCACAATTTTCTTTTTTCTTAAATAATATCAAGTTCAACCAATAACCCTCAATCTTTTCCCAAACTGACATCGAATACTAGCAATATTGAAAGGTTTATATTTTCACAAAACTAGATTATACGACGGTAGTGATAATTATTTTAAAACTGGTGGAAATGAGTTCATGATTATTAATAATTATCTGCATATAACTTAAAACCTCACATTGAAGTATAAATACATTTTCATTAGAGGTGCTAATCAAGAGTATGCAGCATAAATTGTCAACAGATATCAGAAATGGCTGTAAAGTTAGAAAACAGTGTAGAAAATACACAATGTTAATCACGTAAGCCTCAACTTTGTGATAGTCTGAGATTTCATCTATTGTACTTTCCCCCCGGTGATGCTAGCTAAATGCTGTAAAAGCTGTTGATTAACTGATAAGTCAAATTTGTTTTAAAAACTCTAAAGCTAAACCAACTCACAAAGAAGAAGATGTAGGGATGCTATACATTCCAAAGCCTTATATACCTTGACTTAATTCAATAGATTTTCATTTGAACAAATGACAATGTCACAGACAAGAAGCCACGAGACCTGGCTTATACATTAGTTAGCATTTCCTCGATTTGCCATAGCATTGTGGGAAAGTTCCCTAGTAACCAAGGTTGACCATTTTTCTTTCTTTTAAAAATATGATTGGTCTGAAACATTGCTGAGGTGCTCTCTACTGTCAGAGTTCTACAGCTAGTACTGCACTTTCTATTGATGGGAAGCAAGTTTGCACTGACCATTCTGTTCCCGCTGCACTCCTGCGGCCAGGAGGTCTGGCTCTCCAAGGCTGATGTCGTTGAGCCTGGTCCCTAGACATTCCATGCAGAGATGCTTGCACCACTCCTCTGCCTCCAGCTCTGAAAATGAGAGAGCAAGTTATATGATGCATGAAAAGTCACAATGTAACCCAATAGTCTATATAATTAATGAGCACAAATTTAAAAAAAATTCCCCCAAAAATGAGAACATGTGTCAGAGTCAGTAAAGCTCCAAGGAAAGGAAAGAGAAGGCCATTTTTTCTGGTAGTTGGCAAGTGTTAAACAAACGCTATACTCAGGAAGTGAAAAAAAAAATGCCCACCAGTATTTCCCATTTTGACATTGCATTTTCAAGTAGTTTTAACTTATTCTTGTACTTTATTTTACTAAAGGTAACAGTTGGTGAATATTTGTTTTCTATTTAAAATATTTTAGATTAAATTAATTCTTGGGTTGAAATTACTTAGAAAAACTTTAAATATAAAATAAAAAATAGATAAGTGACTATTTAAAAAACATCAGAGTAAATTAAGCAGCCAAATATTTTCCTAATTGTGATTTAGATTTGTGTGGACTGAAGATCTGATCTGAGTTATTCTGAATTTTAATGGATAATGGATTACCCCATAAATATGATCACATTTCCTTTATCAACATCAAAACGTAGACTAGCCTTTTTTTTTGAGAGAGAGAGTGGGATAGATTCTTAAAAGAATCATTCTTCTTTGGAAAATTCCAAATCCAAAGACATGGATTCTAATCCCAATTCTACAACATTGATTACATAATTATTGTTTTTACTATGATTATCTCCTCACTTCTTTATATTTACAAGTTTTTTTTGTTGTTTGAAACACTTCAGCATCTTATCATCATACAGAATCTTGTAGTGTCCAAAATGTTCCCGTTCTTCAACATCAATGAATCAGATTTTAACCAAAATCCTTGTGTGTGGAGGCAGATGGGGGTTGGAATCATATTTGTGTTCTATATCATATCATTGACCAGCACTATGATAATTGGAACAAGGTCTTCTAGCTATTTTACTATGCTACTGTAAAAGATTTGAGCATGAAGTTTAATATTTTGGGGTAAGCTGTATTATTGCTTTACAGAAATTGCATCAGAACTTTTGCATTGACCCCTGCGCACAGAAAAATTTGACTTTTCCATGTAGCATAATTCTGTACTAGAACAGTTTAATATAGATTTCCATCATATTTCTTTCTGTCTGTGGACGACATTCTAGTCTTTCCCTTGGCATTTAAACTCCCCATGAAAAGTCATCTGTGGCAGGTTTCATGATGCTAGAGATCTGAGTATTAAGTACTCTTCAAAATGGTCAACATCAACAAACCTGGGCCGTACTTCCTTCCTGAGTTTAGTCACAGTGCCTTAGCATGAAAGATAAGTTTGATCAATGCACTGTCCAGACAAATGTCATTTATTTTTAAACTTATCAAGACTGTAAGATACTGTTAGAAAATAAAGCAGAAAGAACATGAAGTTCCCCCATAAGGTATGGTTTTAACAGAAACAATAGCTCTAACATTCCAATCAGGAGAGCAATTTTCTTTCCTAAAGCCACTGTCTGCCTATTTCTGGGAATGTCCCCTCAGTGGTATGAGTCACATTAGCTTAAGTCAAAAATCAGATAGATTCCCACAAAAGCCTGACTCACTTAAGTGAAGTCAGAGGCAAGGGATTGGCTGCCTGGGCATTTCCTAGGACCCAAGAAATAATCTTTTGTAAACACAAGGCCATTATCAAAAACAAAAGATCATTTTTCTTGTACAGAGGGAATTCCAGAATTCATAGAAAAAATTTGCAGAAGCAAATAATAGCATATATTTAAAATATTTTTGGTGGATATAGGAGCTTTAATTTATGAAATTCATAAAAGTTTTAAAGCTTTTCTCACAACAAAGCAGAATCTTATAGGTTAAGCCTATTTACATGCTTTATACTGCATTTAGAAATTTGAAATTTCTGCTAAAGGAGACAATATGGTTATATCTTCTTTTTAATTCTTATTGTTTTGACTTTTTTCAGGACTTTACTATTTAAAAGCTTCACATCTCATCAATTCACATCTCATCTGCATTATTCTACCTAACAGTATTTTCAGTTGGTTATGAGAATATCTAATTTGCTATTTGGGGTAAAAATTAAAATGTGAAAGATGCCAAACACCTTGCTACCAGTGTTGCCTGTAAGTAGGAAGTCAGAGCATGAAGAAGTGCATCGCTCATCCCTTCTTTCCTGTGTGCTCTTTTGTCCTCGGGTTTAATGGATGAAGAAAGAATCCCATAGTAAAGGGCTTCTGTGAAACTGGTTCTGACTCCTCATGCAGAATTACAGCTAAATGGTAGAATTCTGTAAGGACACAAAGCCAGTAGGTTTCCTATCAGAGCAATATGAGATATGGACTTCCATCTTGCTGGAAGAGATGTTTTCTGTAGTTATCTTGGGAACTGCAGGGTGCCCCCATTTTAGTGGTGCAGTAACATAGAAATAGCCAGAATAATAAAAACCAGTACATACAGCTACCATAAAGACTGACCTATGAAGTATTTCAGAAAGAGAGAGAAAAAGAGCACAAGAGAGAGATCTCTCTGCAATTCAGAAGTCATCAGGGTTCATTCCTTTTAAAAAATATACTCTTAATTAGCATCTTGCCAGGCATTGTGTTAGGAGACTATCTGAAAAACACATAATTTCTGCTCTCAGTAATCTTAGAATCTAATGGAGTGGGCAGGTGAATTTGGTCTGTGATCCCTGAAGACTGCTAGGCTGGCCAGGAAGGAACTGAATATGAATGAAAAAGCCTCAGCCAAGTGGAAGATTATCAGAGCAGTGACCTGCAGAGCAGGCAGGCTGGTGACTAGGTGTGCATGTGAGGGAGTATGTGTATGTGTGTGAGTGAGCATGCCTATGTGTATGCATGAATGAGTGTGGGTATATATGAGATTGTGTTTGAGTGTGTGTGTCCATGTGTTTGTGAGTGTGCATTTATGTGTCAATGTGTAGAATGAGTCAGGGAGGACAGAGACAGGGGCAGAGGAAGAAAAGCATCTGCAGGGCAGTGATAGTGACATTTGTTTGTAGCTCTCAATGAGAGCTCTGAGTTCACACAATAAAACATGAGAAGTAACACTTGATAATTTCTTTTCATAGCTTGCTAGTATTTGGATTAATTAGAGAAGCCCTAAACCTTCATCTCAAAAGTGTGAACCTTTGTATTCCATATACTTGATATAATAGTTTGCTGCATATGAGCTGAATCTTTTCAGTTACACAGGGCTTTGGTTCCCTTAATCTGCTTTTGATGGTCATCTTTCAAATATTTACAGCTTTGCATTTCATTTGTTCTTTCTCAGGCAACCTCTAGGTATTGAAGTCTTTTTTATCTTTGATTGAGTGTTAATTTATTTTGTCCTATCATTATTTAGCTAGTCATTTTCTCTGAATTATCTTTCATCTACACATACACATATGTATATGTATTGGGGACTGAAGCAAGGACTGGTGCATGCCAGGCAGGTGCTCTACCACTGATATTATACATACATATATATATATATATATATATATATATATATATATATATATAATTTCAGAGCTGAGAGTGAATAAAATTGGAGGTCCTATAGAGCTGGTGCTTTGTGTCATTTGTTTTACCTTTCAAATTTCTTAGTCTACAAATAATTAAATTTCTTTATGGATGACTACAGACATTAAAATATTCTTTACACCTTATATTTTTTTCGCTTCATGATAGAAGCACTTTTTTTTACTAAGATGCTTTTTCCCAATAGCAAGGAGCTATGTTCAAATTCTTATTCTCTATAGCAGAAACCCTAAAATGCTTTCATTATGCACAGGATTAAATGAAGAAGCTCAGTAGTTTTCAAAAGGAAGATGAAAAGATGTGTGGAAATAACAAGACATTTGACAAAGCCAGACTAATTTAAATGGTAAAATATGTGACAAATAGACTTATCGATTAGAAAGAAATGATGACCAGGGATAGTACAAAACAATTTCATAGGCAAGCAAATGGCTTTTCTCTTGGTTTCACTTCCTTTCCCTCTTTACAGAATTCTGGGGACAGTACGACTGTATACCTTTGAATCAGAAGAGGTCTTTACATAGAAGTTCCTTAATAAAGGCCTACTGACAAAATGATTAGATTAAAGTTTTATTGCTTTTGGTGAAGTTCATTGATATGATAATGATAATAAAGTTAAGTATCCAAAATGAGCAATCTTTGAAAACTAAATGAAAAAATTATAACATATATAGGAAATACGCTATCAGCTCAAATCATATAGCAGAATTTTAAAAAGCACTGCATGTATCATATTAATTTATTATAAGGCACAAGCAAGACTAGTTTTGCATGGAAATCATATCACTGTATCTAGTCCTCACCGGATTTGGATTAATTAATAATGTTTGTAAAATGGAGATAAAATACTCCTGCTTGCCTTCAGCATAAGCAGTAGTTCTTAATTATATCTAATTCTTATCTTCTATGCAGATTTGCTATGATTTGGTGACAAAGATTATTTTTATATTTAATAAAGTACTAAACACATACTTTGCCTTAACATGACCAAACAATATTTCCCCAGACTATTGATTAGAGAATATAAGATTTTCTCCGGTTGTTCTGAAGAATTTATAGTGATGTTACAACATAAGACATCTTGATGGAGCTCTCATTCTGGAAAACTGCCAAATACTTGCTTGACCTTACCAATATTTTACAGACTTCTGTTTTTCCCACACTTTTTGTGTAGTAGGAAGATAAGAAAAAAGTTAAAACCTAAGTACTTGCTTCAGCATTCAAGTAATATATTTCTGTTTAGCCCACAAGAAAGAGCATTTACCTTTGAAGTTAGATTTGTAGGACTGATCAGTTTAGAGATAGGGGAACAATTACTTTCCTTTTTCAAGGAGGAAATGCTTTTATTTTCTTCTGTGCAGTACTTCTCCTTTACTGTCTTCCATAAAATTCACTTCCACCTAATCCTCCTTAAAAGGATTTTTTTACTATAGCTCTTCAGATCCAAGTTGGGATGTGACATCATCCT